GCTGACTAATAGTTTGAGCAATATCGTTTGTGTACATTTTATCTTCAACACTGTCCTGCAAATCCATCTGAATTCAACTTGTCTATTGAGTAATTGATCGGTTTAAATTTAAGAATGTGAATAATCTCTGCAAGACAGAGAAAACTAGACAGACAGATAAAGAGCGAGCGTCTGAGTAAACTTGGCACGCAGCAGCACAAACGCTTCACCCCCCATCTGCTGTAAAGGAGAGAAGGGACTATTCTGTGCAGCTCTCCTCTACTGTCAGAAAGATGTATGGGCTGAGATCATATTACCTCCCTCCACCTCTCACACAAACACACACCACCACCACAGTCCTGATTTCATTAAGATCATTACTTCCCTATAAGTTTGAGCCAAGCTCCACAAGGGCCAGACTAATATGTTTAGCGAGGCACTAGCCAGGAAAATCACACACTCTTTAAGTAATATCAATCAAGGCAATAAAAAGGACTTATCCCCAGGAGAGGCATGCACTCTTCGCCTGGACGCACAGGAGACGACGGGAAAAGAGCTTTTTCTCCAAACACACGATTAAATCAGAGATATGGAAAACAGATGTTTTGTGAGTACTAAGCTGGGTTGATAAGAAGCATGTAGAAGCCTTTATTCTTGAGTGCGTTTGTGTATTTCTTATGGTTACACCGATCCTCAAATCCTCACCATCAGACCCTGGATGATGGTGTGCCGATTCTTGCCCTCATAGTCCACCACTTCGATGTAATCCAGGTAAGCGTCCGCCCAGTACACCAACCTGTTCACCAGGTCCAAAGTGATACCGTGGGGGAAGACGATCTTACTGTCGACCAGCTTAGTGCGGTTTTGCCCGTCCATGTCACAACGCTCCACCCTCGGCGTAGACCCATAGTCTGTGAAGAACACTTTTCTGTAGCAGGGGGAAGAGGATAGATTTAAATTACAGAAGGTTTCACAGAAAAGGAAATGGACTAGATAAATTTAGTTGACCACAACTAGGACAACTGTATTAGACATCGGAATTAAGTAAAATGATTTAAAGACAACCGCAAAAAAGAGAAATGATCCTTTTAAAAGGAACTACACCAGATAGCAGATTGTCAGTATCAGGAACCTGAAACAACCAACATGGAAGTATTTATGTCAGAAAGAAGGATCCCGTCTAGGTCTGCGTCTTGAGAAAGCGCTCTGATTTTCGCCTGGCTGCTTGGTCAGCATGTCGCCTGATCATAAGACAGCATTTTCCTGTTGAGCAGAGCTAAAACAGGATGAGGGCAACCTTAAGTCAAGGAGCCTGGAGGCAAATACAGACCCCATCACTGGGTCCAGGGCGATGCCTTTAGGGTTGTACAGCTCTTGGTCCAGCAGGGTCACACAAGTTTTGCCGTTCTTGTTGCAGACAAACACCCGGTCGTCCACGTCATCCACAAAGTAGAAGTTGCCAGTCAGCCAGTCTATAGCCATCTGCTCCACATCTGATGGACGCAGAGGAGAGAAAGGGAGAGGATGAAACAACAGGATAAAAAAAGAAAGAAAAAAACAGGGTTGTGGGAGTACAGTCATATAACTCTTAGTCATAAACCACAATAAATCCAAATACTCTTAATTTTATGATATCAGGAACCGTTCCAAGAACACCTGCAATCTTGATACAAAAAAATAAAAAAAATAGCAGCAATGAATTAATGTTATTTATTGTGTAATCTTGCAGGTTGTCCATTACAAACATTCCACTTGTGTTTGATTAAGGCATGGAGAGTGCGGGGAAGGAAAGGGAAAGAAAAAGGTGTGTTAAGAGTTAGAGGTGAAGTCCAGCTCTTTCTAAACTTTGTGAACTCTTATCAGTGAGTGAGACAGAAATCCCTCGCAGACCTCAAGTCTGCAGACATGCTCTTGTGTAAGATTATTAAGTATTAAGCTGACACTGACTCATTAATTGCATGTGTGCAGCGCACAAGGGTCTACATGATTGCTAATATGAGTCAAACTGACCCGAAACTCTTGCGACACCTCTCATGAAGGATGTCAAAACTTTGTATCCGCTTTAAGTCAGTTTAAGGAAGGAACTTTGCAGATGGATGCGTGTTTTAACAGATTCCACTTCATATTCTTTGAAAGCAAACCAGATCACTACACACACACACACAACCACACACACACAAAGTGACCACACTTGCTCTTGTTTACATATGCTCCCATTAACCATTTCAAGTGTGTTAACCTGAGGTAACTTTCCAAACCTCTGCTAAAATTCCCAACTCTTCATTATATGCATTTAGATTATAATATAAACTCTGATAAGAAGTTTTTTTTAAAGGATGTAAACAGATCAAATCTAATGGCTCTCTTACACTAGACCGAAAGTAGGGTGGCAATATCCTCATTAGGTAGAGTTAAATAAATAAATAGGTGGCTACCCGCTGATGGCACTGAATCTTTTCCACAATCACCACAGCTACTTGCAATCAGACTGCAGGTACTGTGGCGATCAACTGGTTGTCCAGTTGGGGCATTGCTGGTCACCGCGTGCAACGTGCAACACTCTTGAGCAACACA